TCTTTTCGTGGTTTCAAACGTTCAAACATGGGATATGATGTTGCTCCCATGCATTAGGGTGGGTGTCAAGATCACCGGAAGGTCAGGTCAGATCATTTACCTTTGATGACCTCGGTTCACATTTTCGAGTTTTATATGTTTCTAGGCTAGTTTTTGGAGCTGAATTCGAATTAAGCAACCATTTGACCATTTACGAAGTAGTTTTGGTGCCTTCGTAACATGTTACGAAGCTGTCAGAGGCGGTTGCCACCCAGTGTCCTGATTTTCGTGAATTTGGGTGGAAACCCACACCTAACAGATTCTCTTTGTGACGTCCCGGAAAGCCAAACGACGTCCCTGACAGATAAAAGTCGATAGGTATATCGAACACCAAAAGCAAACTAACAAAAGGAAATATCACCTCTGTAGCCTAAAAACACGGCTATGCAAAATGACAATAAATATATCCTAAGTCCTCACAAACCCACTCTTACACTCAACTCCCCTTTCCTGGCCAACTGCCGCAACAGTAAACAACGCGGTTTTATTTTATTTTCGTTTTCTGTGCGTCAGATATGGATAGGTTTTTTTCCTTTACCATGTGAATTTAATGCTGCCATATGAAGGAGAAAAGATGTCGGAATAGAGGGATCTGAGGACGTCGTTTTCCACTTTTCAGTTTTAGTAACTGTGCAGTGTATAGATAAAAATTAATCATGCGAATATATTACTTGGACATTTAACTATAAGCACGCAACATACCTTTCGTATCAAATTCCTGTAACATATTTAATTATTTTTTCCCCTCAGAAGGTCACAGTAACGGGTTAGCGCTGCCCCTTGAACATGCCCTTCAAAAGTAGCAAATTTTGCATATGTTGATAGTCGTTGGGGAAAAAGTTTAATGTTTATCTGTTTGAATTAGAATAAAGTTACCGAATTTCAACAGAATTAATTCAAGTACCTATGTCGTCCTTGGCTTAAAAATACACGCAATGTTGGGGACGTCGATTGACCTTGTTATTCCCATTTAATCGACGTCGGTACAAAACTGAAAAGTGCACAATGATTTCACATTTTTTCCAGCCAAGAAAAATTCAGCGTCCACCTTGGAGTTTTCTTAATTGAATTTCATAACAGGAAGCTATGGAAATTAATTTCCGAACTGTTTTCCACCTCTTTGTTTGGACGTCTGCTTTTTTACATCAGTCCAAGGCTATAGAACTCCAGGTAAGGACACCAGCCGTTTGACCTTGAACGCCGCCGGCCGGCCGATGACGTCATTGGAGGCAAGCCGGCTCGGCGGACGCATCGAGCGAGCGTATAACGGAGGAGCGTTGGGACGTTGCGGGAGCCGGGGAGAGATTTTAAAGCGTTTGCATACCACCATTGTTATGTTGATTGATCTAGACTGCATTCTTATAAAGCTCGACGCATCTTAGGCCTGGATGGTGCGTACATTCGTAGAACGGTCCGACGTCCGTGGTCAAAGCTGGCTACTCTATATGTACCAAAAGACGCCAAGACCGGTGCAATAACGGCGACCCGATCCCGTCTCTGGCGATTCTAGGACTCGTTAGGACCCAGGCCGAGTCTGACCCGTCTATTTTTAGGGAAACAGGATGGGTGAATTGACAACCGAATACCGATGGTTAGAATTGATCCCGTCGTCGAGCGATGGTTTCTACTCTATATATACCAAAAGACGCCAAGACCGGCGCAATAACGGCGACCCGATCCCATCTCTGGCGATTCTAGGACTCGTTAGGACCCAGGCCGAGTCTGACCCGTCTATTTTTTAGGGAAACGCGGTGGGTGAATTGACAACCGAATACCGATGGTTAGAATTGATCCCGTCGTCGAGCGATGGTTGATTGACAGACAACACATGTTGTAGTGGGCGGATAAGCATCAGGGATAATGCCTGAACGTAGGCAAGCATAATTGGTGTGCCATATTGTTTAGGAATATAAAATCGTAACGGAGGTCCTTGAGGATATTATCTCTACATTACGAGGATTCACCACCAGTGAAATTACTACTGTTAAACCCTCGGTCCCGGGCAACGCCGGGGAGCTGCAGTATCCGGCGGCCACCTCGTCGACTCGCAGGTCCTGTGGGCTTCCGTCCGTGATGCTTTAGTGCTTCACCCAGAGGCACGGATAGAGCAGAAGGATGTGGGGTGAGGTGTCTGTACGCCTCTTCATTGTAGGTACGACGCATACAGCGCCCAGTCCCGCCGAAGCTCGATAATCGACCGTGACATATTCTCAACTGGCGGATCCAGGAAGCGGTCTTGAACACATCGGGGGGCATATACCCTAAAAAAGGTTTCTGTGAATTAAAAAAGAACATCGGATTTCGATTCCTTGCGCACTACTGTGCAGTCCGATCAATAAACTTTTCCTCATAAAAGTTGTGAAGTTTTCGTTTTATTCTCGAAAAACGATTTCGGACGCTGCCCCGGATGTGGGCCTGTGGGGGATAACATTTGTCCCAAATGCCTTCCCTTGCAATCGCCAGCGGGCTGCCCCACCCTGAGCTTAACTAAAAACGTCTAAAAATCCCACCAGAGAGCCGAATCAGATAACTCATCTCTGGCCCGTCTAAATTACTACGCACCGTACGGCGCCCGGCCCCGTCGGAGCACTGATCCGACCGTGATATTTTTGGTTTTCCCCCATCCCAAGCTCCATTAGAAACGTTCTCTCGCCCCATCCAATTGCTCATGATGTCATTTCAAATTCAATACCTACCTCATCTCTGTCTGCCCGCCCATTCATTGCACACCTTACGGCGCCCGGCCCCGCCAGAAGGATCCTAGCGCGCTGAGTGGTTGCCTCCAGCCGCGTCATCGCGAGGCCCCGCGGGGCCCGCAAATGAATACATTGCGTGAATAGCCGTGTCGCCCCCTGCATCAGTCCTCTTGCTCGATATGATATCCCTCTTATGACGTCAATATTTAGTGATAGCCGCTGGCTCTTGAGCTGATTTTTGTTGAAGCATATTTGTTGTTGACTGTTGTGTACGATCATGGACAAGAACTAGACATCTTCAAAGTGTTGTTTTGGTGTTTGTGGTGAATGCTTGAATTTTGTATTTTACTAGGGGTAAACTGGCATTACTTTGTGTCTATATATGATCATTTGAGGTGCCTTGAGGTGGTATTAGTCAATATTGCCAGTGAAAATCGCTAATTTTAAGAGATTTAGGTAAGGGATCTTCAGTGTCTTAGGCTCCACACCGATATCGACGTCCTTTTGAAATAGCGACGTCCTCGGGGCTTCAATCACACTCTCCGAAAAATCAATTTCAGGACACTGTTGCCACCTACTACGAATACCCGGCAAAACCCTTACTGGTTGACCTGACCTGACCTGACCTGGCCTAAATGCATGAAGACATCATCTATGATCATAACTAACATGATATTCGTGATCAGCACCCCGAAAAACCATAGCAGCCACTCTTTACGACGCTCTAACAGGTCCCGATTTTCCCGACTTTTGGGTCAATGACCTGACCTGGAAGGTCAACCGATGACCTAGGACCTTAAAATTGGGTGTAATCGGCTTCCTTTCATCACGGGCAACACGGTCGTTTTTTCCGCGAAGCTCTAGCTCGATCAGGGGCGAAACGGCAAGGGGGAGGGTCCAACGGACCCCCCCCCCCCTATACGCTCGCTACTGGAAACACCAATACGGGCGAGGGTTAATGGATTATTTAAAGACAATTTTCCAGGTTGCCTCCCCAGTCAAATTCCCTTAAAATAGGCTCTGCCCGCGAGTCAGCGTCAGCTGTTGCTAGGCTGGGTCAGGGTCGACCGAGGTCAATATTGGCTGGTTGCCAGCGGGCGGGGAGGCCACGGGAACTGCGTGAATAATAAACAATCCTTGGCCGTTTCGGTCCGTGACGCGCTGTTCGCTCCATTTCAACCGTGAGTCGTGGCAGCGGAGAAGATAGCGGTGTGTTGGAGGGAGATGTACCTGTCGTTTTGTTAGCAGATATTGACAATGGAGCTGCGTATCAGTAAAAGAGTATTTTTTGATGCCGTTATTGAAGGAGGGATGCTGTCCAAGCAAATGAAGAACAGCACAGCGCATGCCGTGCAGCTTGGAGAGAGCCTGGCGGAGATAGAGTGCGATGGCCGGTGGTCAAATGAATGCTTAGAGAAGCTGCGTGCCGCTCTAACGGATTTTTTCATGAAAGTTCAACGGCAGTGGGCTAAATGCGGGCGTCGCAGGGGTCGAGTGCTCGCCAAATACGGGAAGCATTTCGAAGGCGATATTGTCGTTGTTGCTGACGACGACGTCTCCAGCGACGGCACCGGGGACGAGGACGGCGGGACACTGTCGCAGAGCGCAGCGGGTGGGAGATGCCCTATAACGCGGCTCAGCGCGAGAAGCAAGAGACGGGCATCCCGCGAACTGTCCCGGGACCATCCCACGGAGAAGCTGGTACAGGCTGCTACCCAGAGTGCCAGGGCGGATGGCCAGTCTGATCTGTCCTACGTTCTGAAGAAAATCACGGCCTCGCCCACCAGGCCATCGAAAGTACGCCGCACAATCAAAGTCACCAAACGCCCCCAACCAGAATGCGTCACGCCAGATATGGCCCTGGCGATGAGCGTCGCAAGTGATTTGACCGTCCTTGGCTACAATGTGGTTAGAAACACAATGCGCGGCGCAGCAAAATCCAACATACTCCCATCAAAGCATCAAGTACGCGAAGCCAAGCAAAGGTGCTGCCCTCCAGCGGGTGCGACGATCGTTACGGAAACGAGTGCATCCGTAACGTTACAGTCCGTCCTCGACCACACTGTTGAGCGCCTTGCCGAGGCTCACAACATCCTCAACTCACTGGATTCTCCCACTGACGAGTCGGGGCCCAGCGCTCGTGTGCACTATGGTATTCTAGAGGCAAAATGGGGATTTGATGGGGCAGCTTCCCAGTCAGTGTATAAGCAAGCCCTCAGCGCGGAGCATCGAGGAAAGACCGAGGAGAGCCTCTTCTGCACAACAATGGTACCGCTACGGCTCCGTGTCGACCAGTCCGTCGTCTGGAAGAAAGCGGCCCCATCATCATCGACCAGACTGTGCAGGCCCATCAGCATCAAGTATGCCCGCGAAACCCCGGAGCTGTCGCGAGCAGAAAGGCGACTGCTGACCGGGCGTGAGTGGGGGCTGGAAGAGCGCCAGCTGCGCATCGTCGCCTCCGGCTACATCCGCGGCGCACTGGAACACGCCGCCGCCGCCTGGCTCCCAGCAGCGTCACCGTCCCATGTCATGCTGCTGGAGAGGGAGATGCGCGAGGCCGCCAGAGTGGTAACCGGCTGCTCCCGGTCCACTCCGGCACACGCCGTAATGGCGGAGGCGGGCCTCGCCCCGGTGGCCGAGCGACGCACGGCCCTGGCGGCGCGCCTACTGGCCAAGGCGCGCGCCCTCCCGGCTGGAGACCCGCTGCGGAAGGTGGCGGAGAGCCAGGCCCCCATCCGCCTCAGCACCGTGACGGGGTGGAGAGGAGTGGGCGAGGAGACATGGAGAGCGGCGGGCATCTGCCCTCCGATCGAGCCCATCCTCCCCCTGCCGGATCCACCGTGGGAACCGTCACCAACGGTTTCTTTCGGTTTAGACATCGGAGCCGCCATCCCAACCGCGGCTAGTGACACCTGGAAGAGGAATGCGGCATTCCAGCACCTGGCGGCGCTCCCGCAGTGCGCCACCTGGGTGTGGACCGACGGCTCGGCCACCGACGGCGTCCTGAACGGTGGCGCCGGAGCTCTGATCGTGTGGCTTGACGGAGAGGAACGCTCGGTCCGCGCCCCGGCGGGCCGCCTTTACTCAAGCTTCCGGGCTGAAACGGTCACCCTCCAGGCCGCCCTCTCGTTCCTACTGGGGAACCCTCTTCACGCCGATGAACCCGTAGTGATCTGCACGGACTCACAGTCCGCCCTCGCCGCACTCCGAGAGGGCCCGGCCGCCCAGCACTCCCCGCTGGGAGGGGCCATCTGGAGAGCCCTCCGGGGCCTGACGGCGGGAGGCCGGCAGATCCACCTGCAATGGGTGCCCTCGCACTGCGGACTGGAGAGGAATGAGAGAGCGGACTCGATCGCCAAGGAGGCCAGCAATCTCGCCCAGGACCAAGTCCCCATCGACGTCCAGACGGCCCACCGGGCCGCCGCCAGAGTGGCGAGGGCCCGGACCATCCGAGCCTGGCCGGCCGGCTAGTTCCGCCGGCTAACCGGGGACCACCTCCCGCCGGCCGTGGCCGGCGGAGACCGGTCGGCGGCGGTGGACGTACACCAGCTCCGCGGCGGCCACTGCACTGGACCAGTTCTACGCAGTGGCGCCACAGAGTCGGGCTGGCGCCCTCCCGGCTGGCGGGGTGCGAGCAGTGTGACGACCAACACTGCAGGGCCGCGCTCTGCCCCGTCTGCCGGGAGGAGGCGGACACCCCCCAGCATGTCCTCCTGCGCTGCCCGGTCCTGATGGCCACCCGACACCGACTGCTGGGATCCATCAACCCCGACCTGGAAGAGGTGCGGAGCGGCGCCATCGTGGCGGCCCTGGGGGCCGCCCACAGGTCCCTACAGAGCCTGACGGCTACGTCTCAGCTGTGAGACGGAGGGACCACAACAACAACAACAACAACAGCAGAAAGGCAGCATATTGAAGCAGAGATCCACAGTCTGCACCCGACGATCCTGATGACTCCTGGTGGCAGCCGGGTGGAGATCCAACATCAACTTCACTTAACTATGATAGACGGGAAAGTCATCGGAGCCCTGACGGAGACTGGAAGTGCCACGTGCAACGTGTGTGGTGCAAAGCCAAGTGAAATGAACGACCTGAGTACTGTGGCCGATCGTTCGGTGCGTTCAGAGAGCCTCCAGTTCGGACTGTCGACGCTCCATGCCTGGATCCGCGTGTTTGAATGTGTGCTTCACATTTCATACAAGCTGCCAATCGCAAAATGGCGCGCTGTAACCGAGCAGGATAAGGCGGCCGTCAGCGACAGGCAAAGGGCCGTCAAACAGCGCTTCAGGGACCCAATGCAGCTGGTCGTGGACCAGCCGCAGTCTGGCGGGAGTGGCGGCTCCACCAACGATGGAAACACGGCCCGCCGCGCCTTTAATGACGTTCATGTGCTGAGCGAGGTAACAGGAGTCGATGTCGAGCTACTGCAGAGATTTTCAGTCATCCTCTCAGCACTGTCATCTTCTTCGACTATCGACGAGGGCAAGTATCATCGGTACGCCATGGACACAGCGGAGCTGTACGTAGCACTCTATTCGTGGTACAACATGCCGGCGTCACTACACAAGATCCGGGTTCACGGAGCAGACATCATCAACGGTCTCGAGCTGCCTATCGGTGCATATAGCGAAAAAGCTCAAGAAGCACGCAACAAGCATAACAGGCAATACCGACTTGGCCACGCCCGGAAGACATCACGGGAGGACACCCTGACCGGGTGCACGTCAGAATAGCTAGTGACATTTGAGCTAGTGACTTTTGAACTAGTACAAAACAGCTAGTGCCTCAAAACAGCTAGTGACAAAACAGCTAGCGTCAAAATAGCTAGTGAAGCAAAATAGCTAGTGCTTAGAAACAGCTAGTGACAAAACAGCTAGCGTCAAAGTAGCTAGTGAAGCATAAAGAGCTAGTGCCTCAAGACAGCTAGTGACGAAATAGCTATCGTCAAAATAGCAATTTCGTTGGGCCTCTGTTTCCTTCCCATTCACTTCGCTTCAAAAATGCAAGATATCTATGACTGTAAATATGTATTTCCCGCGATATGCCATCTCTTTAATTCCCCGGTGCCCCGCTTCTAATTTGTTGTTTGTCCTAGGGATCCCGTCCTCTGCCCTCCTAGCATTCCAAATAATTTTGTCAAACTACGGTGCTCTTCTGCTCCTTCTACCCGTGGGGACTCTTCGTCGGGAAAGAATCTATAATAGCTGCTCTACGAATAAGCTATTTTGCTTATTAGCTATTAGTCGACGCTAGCGATTTCTATAGCTACATGGGCGTAGGAACGGCTGGAACATTGTGGGTGCATGGGTGCAGAAATCCAGCCATGGCCGGTGAAGCCGGGGGGGGGGGGGGTGGGGAGCGGCACCCGAGCGGAGGCTCCTTGTGAGCTTTGAGGGTGTACCATGTCGAAAAGGTACCTACCGATGATAAGTGTATTTAGAAGCGTTGATAATGTCAATATTGACTACCGCAAAAAGTACCTAAATGCGGCTAACTTAGCCATTTTCGAAGATAGGTATCGGGCTAAAACTTTTGACAGTGGGTCATCGGTATGTGTTCAATCACATGTGTTCCGTTGCTTCCTTTTTTTCTTGAGCGCAAATGTAAGTTTTGAAGACCATCACAGTAGCAAACGCTTCTAAAGGTGGAAAGTGGGCAAAATATCCTGAATTTGTTGTGCTGCATGGGAAGTAGTGTTGATGAGAAAAGGGGTTTTTGTTCCAGATTACTGTGGGTGCAGAATACATTGTCTGCACCCACTGGAAAATTATTGTGGTTGCAACTGCACCCACTGCACTCATGGTTCCTACGCTTATGACTAGCTATATTGAAGCACTAGCTATTTTGCTCTACTAGCTATATTGACGCTAGCTGTTTAGTCACTAGCTGATTTAATGCACTAGCTATTTTGCATTACTAGCTATTTTGGCGCTAGCTGTGTTGTCACTAGCTGTTTTTAAGCACTAGCTCTTTTGTACTAGCTCAAAAGTCACTAGCTCAATAGTCACTAGCTGTTTTGACCAGTTTCGGTACCTCATGGTCACCAGTGACCCAGTGACCAGTGAGCTAATAGAACAGCACTACAGCAAACCACGACGACAGCGAGCTCGTCGTGCTGACGTGGGAGGTGTCGACATATCCCCTCTCCTGAGACACGACGAAGTCAGCAGCTCCGACGAGGATGACCAGGAAGACGAAGGCGATGCTCCTGGAGTGAATGAGCTGCTGTAGGCAGAAGAGGGACGAGAACTGTCAGTGTTCACTGTTCTGAGTTAAAGTGAAACTATGTAAGCACTGAGTGGTACTGAGTGATGTTTCAATGACAAACTGACCCGCTGACTTGTTTGATTGACTGGGTGACAGTGAAGTGACTGAATGAATGACAGTGAGTTCACTGAGTGAAAGTTAATGTTCACTGTTCATTGTTTGCTGGTTCACAGCCAATATATCTGGTCCATGTGAGAGTAATAAATACTGACTCCTTTTCTTATATGGTTTTGTTGCTATCAGCGGTGGAATGGCACATCAGTCCCACTCAACTAAATATCCTAGGGCTCGTAAAAAAAACACTTTTGTCTGGAATCATCGGTTTCCTACTTGCGTCTGCTTGCATTTGGTGAGAGTATGAAAAATGCAAAATCTGAAATCAATCCGACGCGTTTATGTGCGCCTTTGCTTCGAAAATTTTCACAAATGCATTGGAGGTAAAAAAATCAACATGTGAAAAATTGTTACAAATTTAGGCCTATAACACGTAAAATGATGAGAGGATTCCAAATCTGGTCGCAAAATTCATATCGGAGAACATTTGACTGCTGTTTTGGCCAAAAACTGTCCAAATTTGCCCAAATTGGATATTTTGCCTATTTTCGACAGTTTTTTGCCAAAACAGGGGTCAAATGTTCTCCGATTTGAATGTTACGACCAGATTTGGAATCCTCTCATCATTTTACGTATTATAGGCCCAAATATGTAACGAGTTTTACATTTTCATTTTTGACCTCCAATGCATTTTTGAAATTTTTCAAAGTAAAAGCGCACATAGTAAAACGCGTCGGAATGATTTCATAGTTTGCACTTTTCATACTCTCACCAAATGCAACCAGACGCAGGAAGGGAACCGATGATCCCAGACAAAAATGCTTTTTTTACGAGCCCTTAACCCGCGCCCCACTGGGGTCTGTGTATAACACGCCCTACTGGGGGGGGGGGGCTATTCATAGCCCCCCCTCCTAACTCCGAAACTACTGGGCCGATCGTCAAAATTCAAACGGCGTCTGATAGCCCCGGAAAAACTGTCGAGCGAAACCTAATTTCATTGACCTCGAGGTCACCGATGACGTCACAGGTCAGGTCAAAGTAAAAATTATTAGCACTTTGGCTTGTTCACATTTTGGGCTCTGGCCGCCGTCTTACAAGTCAGATCAGGCTCATTTTTGGTTTCCACACTCGTGAACAGATGCTCTAGATACCTTGAGGGTACCAAACTTGTACTTTGATTTTCAGGTCAGGGTCAGGTCATCACAGGTCACGAAAATATTATATCATGCGTCGGTCACGTGACACATGTTTTATGGTCCATTTAGGCCATAGATTTCGAATTTGATGTCGTCTATGTCATTCGAGGTCATTTTGAGTCGAATTTAGCTTAGGTCAGGTCACTTTCAGGTCAAAAAAGGTCAAATTTTGAAGTTGAAATTTTTCAACAAAAAAGGTGTCTATTGGATGCAGTTTGAGCTCAGGAACACGATGGTGCCATTTATATTGGTGTACGATGCCAAATACGTACTGAAAAATTGATTTGAAAAATTAATAATTGTGATTTTTTTGCAATAATGCGTATAACTTGGCCATTTTTGAAGATATTTAGCTAAAACTTGCTAGAGTTAGTCATAATAATGCGTTCTGTCACATATATTCCGTTTTTTTTCGAAAAGTCAAAAACTTTTTGAAAAAAATATAAAAATATAAATTTTGAATATTATTATATAAAATTTTCTAAATTTTCAACATTTTGAAAATCCGAGATAGCAGTTTGATAGCGCGGTCAATTCTGAGTTCTTTCATGCAAAGAAATTGGATCTAGCTTAAAAACTGAGCTCTTGGGAGCGATTGCCGTGGTTCAATGTTTTGCGTCGAAATCGGACGAACATGACGTCACTCTGACGTCATTTCCGGCCGACCTATAGTAGCTACGAAGTTCAAATTTTGACACAAGGTGTCAAATTGATGCAGCCGAAGGTACTGAAAGTTTGGCGTCGATCCGTCAAGCGGTTTGGAAGTTATTGCAGAAAAACGGGAGGGGGGGCTATAAATAGCCCCCCCCCCAGTGGGGCGCGGGTTAAATACCTAATCCCTCTTCAAAATTTCGCGTATCGCAAAAAATGTGGTTTAAAATGGCAGAAATATTTCTCATTTTCTAAGAGCGTGATTCATCTGCTTTCATTTGAGCCCTATATCACATCTCGAGCTTCCGTAGTTTTTGCGCTAGGCTTAGAGGTTTTGTCCACATTTGAATTCGAGATGGACCTGTGTGCCACGGCGACTCAGGGCGAGGATGACAGCCAGCGTTATGATCAGCGGAGCCGCGGCGGCAGAGCAGCGGCGTCGCGGAGGCCGGCTCAGTCCGCAGAGGTAGAGCGCGGAGCCGATCAGCTGACGCGCGACACCCGGCAGCGAAGCGCCACCGCTACCCGAGCTTCGGCCGGTCGCCGCCAGACCCGGAGTAACGTCACTGTCCTCCAGTCGACCAATCAGCCGGTGATCCTCGTGTCGTGTGACGTCATACCACGGCCGACACGGACAGAGGTCCGCCATGACAGTGCGCGCCGGGGTCACCCTCAAACGCATCTCCGACTCTAAA